CCCCCGGGGTTAGCGCTTCTGCACTGTGTGGCCAGAGCCCCCGAGAGCGAACCTCTCACTAGGCTGGAGGACCGTGTCTCGCGTTCCCGAGCCTTGGCACCCGCGACGCTCATCTCATTCTAGAAACGATCAGAGGCTCCAGCTTCTTTTTTTAAAATGAAGATTTTTTTTTTTTTTCATTGATCCCAGAGAGAGAGGAAGGGAGATGGAGAGAGGAAAACATCGATGGGTGTGTGACCGGGGATCAAACCTGCAACCTGGGTAGGTGCCCTGGCCGGGAATCGGACCCGCCACCCTTCGGGGCAGGGCGGACGCCCTAACCACTGGGCGCACCGGCCAGGGCAGAAGCTCCGGCTTCTTCGGTCGCCTCACACTCTTGCCGAAGGGAAGTCGGTCGTGAGCAGCTGCTCCGGGCGAAAGCTGTCCGACCGCATTTCCTCCCCTTTTTATTAGGTTTATCGCCCTGGTCGGGTGGCTCAGGCGGTTGGAGCATCGCCCTGTACCCCGAGAGGTGGCGGGTTCGATCCCGGGCCAGGGCGCACACAAGGACCAGCCAGTGAGGCATAAAGGAGCAGAGCAGGTCGGTGTCTCTCTCGCTCTCTCATCAGTAAAAACAGTAAGGACAACGTGCGAGCTCTGCGAGGCGAAGACAGTTCTGCAGCCCAGTGGAGGCGAAGGCCGGACGACATGAACGCACTTGCTCCCACCGAGCTGCACTCTTAACGTTTAAGGTGGTTAGTTTTCTGTTATCACATATTTAAAAAAATGTGTCTTTATTGATTTCAGAGAGAGGAAGGCAGAGGGAGAGAGAAACGTCAATGGTGAGAGTCACTGATCGGCTGCCTCCTGCGCGCCCTGCCGGGGATGGAGCCCGAAGCCCGGGCCTGTGCCCGGACCTGGCATCGAACCGCGATCTCCCGGTTCCTGGGTCAGTGCTCAGCCGCCGAGCCCCGCGGAAAAATAAGTGGAAAAATTACTCTATAGGATTCAATAGACAAACCTGGGGACTAGACCACCTAAATCTCTATGTCCTGAGCACTTGGTTGGAGTTGGGGGGCAAGGGCTCAAATACTGCTCCGAAGAGCTGGGTCGTGCCCTGGGGGTTCGATCCCGGCCGGCGCCCACTTACACCACTCTCTGGAGACTGCGCGGAGCGGAGGCTATTTTTTCACAGAGAATCCTGAGGACTGAGGCGCTGAGGAAGCTCTGGCTGAATCCAGAGACGTGAGGTTCTTGTTGGAGCCCAACGTGGGGCACAGGTCCACCCAGAAGGGGAGCAGGGGCCCATCTTCCCGGGACCTGCGGGCGGCCACACGGGAGGGAATCACGCTTGGACGTCGCTGTGGAGCTATTTAGGGGGCTCTGGGCACCCGCCCCTAATGAATGAGTTCAGCCCAGCGTGGGATGGCGGCCCTGGCCGGGTAGCCCATTTCTAGCGTCACCCCGACACGCCAAGGTTGCGGGTTTGGTTCCCGCGCAGGGCGCAGACCTAGGCTTCGGGCTCTATCCCTGGTCGGGGGCACGTGGGAGGCAACCGGTCGATGTTTCTCTCTCTCCCCCTCTCCTCTCTTTAGACACATCCTTGGGTGGGAGTTAAAAAAACCCCCCCAAACCTGGAGAGTATTAGGCTGAGCGAAATAAGCCAGGCAGAGAAAGACGAGAACCGCATGATCTCACTCATATGTGGAACCTAACGAACAGAATAAACTGATGAACGAAACAGGTGCAGAGACATAGAAGCAGGGAGCAGACCGAGGGGTCCCAGGGGGAAGGGGGACAGGGGAGGAGATTAACCGGATGGACACAGACAATACGGGGCAGAGGCTGGCTGAAGGGGGAGACGAGGGGCGTCTGAAATATTCTCCACAATAAATTTAATAAAAAAATTGCTCAGTAAAAGAAAGGCCCCCAAACAAGGTTTGGCCCCCCCCCGTCCTAATCTGAACGCCGTGGTGTCTCCGCTGAACGCTGAGCCCGCGGGAAGGAATTCCAGCAGGAGGAAAGCACCGCCCGAGCCACCGAGCAGCCGGCTGCCCCCGCGGAGCCCGGCGCGGGGCTGGGGCGACACGCGAGCCCGTGGCAAAGGCGCGTCCTC